CTGGGCTGGGGAATTCTGGGAGTTGAAGTCCACTCATCTTAAAGTGGCCAAGTTTGGACAAGACTGAGCTAGTGCTTAATTTAAACAATCCTGAGGGTTTTCCTCCCCCCTCCCCAATTCTAAGTAAAAGAGAAAAACAAGCTAGCTAAGTATTATTATAATTCAAAGTGAGCTTTCTTAACACGTGCAGGAGAAATCAAACTAGGTAGCCTAAACTCCTTGAAATAACAATGGTCTTCTGCATTGCCACTACAGAATATTAGGTATGTTCACCACCCTGAGTTATATATAAAAAAGATGGGATAAAAATCTAATATTAATATTAATAATAATTTAGCACAGACACTTCTCATTATAGCATTCCTTTTCTGATAATACCTTGTCTCTCCCTTCTTTTTTTGCTTGTCTTTTATTAGTTTGTCTGAAAGGCACCAAAATCAACCTAAAATGTTTCCTGGCTTTTTCCCATCCCAAGACCTATCATGAGGCCAGCGAAGACTGCATTTCCCAGGGTGGCACCCTCAGTACCCCACAGACGGGGGACGAAAATGATGCTCTCTATGACTATGTGAGGAAGACCCTGGGGACTGAGGTGGAAGTCTGGCTTGGCATCAATGACCTGGCAGTGGAAGGCAAATGGGTGGACATGACAAGCAACGGCATTGGCTATAAGAATTGGGAAACGGAGATCACCACCCAGCCTGATGGAGGGAAGCAAGAAAACTGTGCTGCATTGTCTGCAGTAGCTGTGGGAAAGTGGTTTGACAAGAGGTGCAGAGACCAGCTGCTCTATGTGTGCCAGTTCCTGATTGTTTAATAGAGAGGTGCCTCTTGGGGAAGGTTGGATCAATACATTCCATTGATCCCTGGAACTGAGCTTTGTGTGTGTGCCTGTGTGTGTGTTTGCTTATACATAGATATATAGATATTTATGATGAGACACATACATATGTACACACACTTAGCAGAAAAAAGTTATGGCAATGGATTAGAATGAATTAGATCTATGCTGCACTTTAATTGGCTGAAAGCTACATCCTACTCATTAGAAGCAACATTATACTTACTTAGGTAAAAGTCATAAGTACCTTTATTTTTACACTCAAAATTTTTTACAAAGGCTTTACTATTTGGGAACATTCAAACTCTGACAAAGTAATATGGTCTTTCAATTTATTGTTGCATGCAATTTTCCTGCAATCCTCTTTCTCCCCCTGCTAATTGCACCAAATTAAACTGGCTTTTGCTGAATTGCCCTTATCCGTTGGACTAAAAAGCTGGAAGTGTTTTTAGCATCCCTGCTTTCATTTCACCACTGAACTCAGAATTAAGCAGAGCTGCATCAATTTATCCTATGTGAGCAATGCTAGTAGAAAGAGAAGAAGCAAGGAAGGCGCTAACAAGGTTTTATGTGTTGTACTAAAATATATATTTTTAAACTGCTTAACTGATGGGAAGACCTCTGTATCTCTTCTATAATTTCCTTCTGGGCACGTCTAGATAAAAACATTAGGTACAAAAGAAGAAAAAGTAAAGTAGGGGAGGAACTGATCAACTGCTAGAAAAAGTTGTACCAATGCCTTGGAAAGGAGAGTGGAAGATTTCAGAAGGTTGTTACAGCACCAGCCTTCTCCCAAGTAACATAGCCATGAAGGAGGGGAAAAAAATTCTATTTCTTCAAGGGCTCCCACAGAAACATTAGCGAATCAGTCATTAGCTTGATTCTGGGCGTGGGTCTTTATAATTGCATTTGCTTATTTGTATGTAGGATTCATTTCCATTCCCAAAGGAGAGCATTTTTCCTGCATTCAAAAACATGTGATTGAGTTTCCCCATTTACCTGAAGAGAGAAGATGTCTATGGCAAAGGCTCGGTGTTTGAAAATACCTCTAGTGTTTTCTGGATGAGTATGTTGATTTCCAAACCAAGGGAGCATGGGAAAGAAATTATGTCAGAGAATTGGGACTTGGGCTGTCAGTGCAGTAGCTTTCTGAAGATGGAACAGAATGGGACCAAAATTGGAAGGGGAGAGGAGTCGTGAAAAGAGAGACTGTGCTTGACAACTGGCCAGACTGGGCTGGGAGCTGCTAGCGCATCCCTGAAGAGAGGCAGTTGGGCAGCTCCTCTCTTCCTCCTCAGGTGATCCAGAGCAGAGCAGATGCAGCTCACACTCCGCTTTCCAACGCCCACAGCACACAACACATGACCAAGCTGGTAAAGGGTGTAGAAAGAACGGCAGACAGCCTGCTCTGCACGCTTTCCCTACCTTGCTTATCTAAGAAGATGTCCAGGTTTCCTTACAGCAGGATGGAGCAGCATCTGAACGATCTTGGTGCCCTTCGCCATGACATCCCCTTTTCACAGCTAGGCACCATCCTGATACTCTTCCCCTGGCTTTCTCAGCTCTCTGTTTCCCCCGCCCATCCCGTGGTGCCACTCCTCTCCTCTGCTTGTGTGCAGCCACTGCTCTGCTGCTCAAGCCTGTTCCCTTGGCTGCCCATCTGCCTGTTTGCCCATTAATCACCCCTTTGCCAACTCTGCCCCCCCTCCAGGTTCCAGCCCTCTTTTTCCCTTCCTGTCTTCTCAATGGAGCATCCAGCCCTCTGCTCCCCCCACCCCATCTATAATAATTCTTGTTATTCTGATGGGACAATCCTGGGGGATTCCACTTCAGCTTTAAAATGCCAAATGTCACAATGAAACAGCACAATTGCTCCATTCAGGCTTTGAAATAACGATGAGATAGTTTTAACTGGGAAGGGCAGGGCTGTAAACATAAGCCTCGCCCTCTAGGTCCCCACATACATGCATTCTGTATTTTCCTGCATTCAGGATAAAAGGCTAGGAGACAAACAGTAGTATGTTATTGGGGATGCCAATCATGAGGGGGCTTGTATGTATGTTCAGGTGAAAGCACTTGGGAGCCTTCCAGCTTTCCATGACAAATACACAGAGGTTTGGCCTGGAGCCTTTGCATGTCACTATGCATGCTCTTCTCACTGTATGTCCATAGATGTTAATTCAAATGCCTGAGTAAATCTATGCAGAAAGAGTTGTATCACATTGCCTGTCATGTTTGAAAAGAAAGGACTGCTGACTATAGAAAGCTCACTGAGGGCTGAAACTGGTGGTGGGGTGAACCAGAACCAGGATTGCAAAATTGTATAATGCTCTGTATTAGATGGTACCTCCCGCGAAATAAAGCTGAGTGTTGCATGAAATTAAACCAGCCCAACCTGTGTGACATCTCTGCACAAATGTGATGCTTACAGCCCATTGCTCCCATTAAAACCAGTGCATCAAATTAACTATGATCTAAATTCAGGCCCCATTAATGCCAGTAGGGTTTAGATCCACATCCTGGAACTCAGAGATGGATCATGCAATTAAGGTATGCCAATGTGGATACCTGGGTTTCATTTGTATAGCTTGATTTGTTCATTATTATTATTATTATTATTATTATTATTTGTCTGCGCTCAGTCATTGCTGACCCTGCAGTGACTGCTTGGACGAGTCCTTGCAGTTTTCAAGGCAATTGTTTCGGAAGTGGTTTGCCAGAGCCTCCTTCCTAGAGCAGAGCCCAGCTGGTGAGCACAGGAGGCGGGGTTTCCGTTGCTTCACGCCCTTTTCGGGTGTGCGCGGTTTTTCGCGCTTACCGGCAACTGCTCCCAACTCCTTTTTGCAAGACGCCGCCAGCATTTTTCCTCCCACCGGAGTGAGAGTACCCATTTGTCTACTCACGTGAGTTTTCAAACTGTTGGGTTGACAGGAACTGGGGAGGAAACAGGAGCTCACCCTGTTTAACGCGAAGGCTGGACTCGAACCGCTGAAGCGTCGACCATTTCTGGCCGGCAACTTTCAGCATCATTAAGCCGCTTTACAAAACCAAGAACACTTTAGCAAAGGCAAGATTTTTCCAATGTAGGAGTTTTGTACATATATCATAGAATCTCTTGTTTCAAAGATTTTTTATAAGCTCCTACCCATTCATCTATCATTTGATATTTGTGGTTCTATGTGAGTTATGTAATTTGGCATCCACCAACTCTCTATATATCAGAGCAATGACAACAACTATGGGAGAAAATTGAAATAATTGTAGAATTGTGCACGCAAGACACGAAGTATATGAATTCCCATCTGAGCAATTATCAGAGGTACTTCCAGTCAGCAATTTACAGCAAGCAAGTGGTTTCAATATGTCTGTAAAACACTGTTTTTAAAATACTGGGCAGGGGGGATGTGACTATCAATTTCTTTGATGCAAAAACTCAAGGCTAGATTTTGAATAAACTTATTCAAAACTTTGCTATATTTCTTATTTTGTCATCTTTTTAATTCATGTGGTGAACTACTGAGATTGTAAAATGCCCACATAAGAACATGAATTGACCACGTGGCAGGAGCATCTCTGTTTGTATTATATGTTATTGGGAGGCCTAAGAGAAAGAGCATTTCGTATCCATCTGCTTGCTTTTCATGATGGAACTCTCAGTATTTCTGATTGAGCCAAACATCTTAGACAGCCCTTGATCCCCCCTAGTTGTGTTATTCAGAGCATCTTCCTACGTTTAAGAAGTTTCTGCCTCTACCTCTGCAAGCAATACAGGAGAAGAAAGGACCATGGAAGAGAAGATGTGATGACAGAAAGATAGAAGCTAGTGGCTTTTTCTGAGGGATTTCTGGGCCCTGTCCAGAACTCTGTGGTATTCCTTTCATCTCAAGAACTCTGGCTCAGTTTGAGAGTTGAGATGGCACTTTTCCGAAACAAATGGATTCCAGCTGTTCAGCACTGGCCTTGGCCACTATTTTAAAGCATTCAAACATCCTACTGTTGAGGCAGATGAGAGACATAACATCTGCATCCCCAACCCCTAGGTGTGAGTTAATGATTATGCAAGCCTTTCCTAAGCTGGTGTCCTTCAGATGTATTATGAGTACAAACTGTAGAATTCCTAGTTAGCATGGCCAGTGACCATGATGACTGGGAATCTGAAAATTCTGGGAGCTGTAGATCAAGCATTTCAGGAGGTTGTCAGGGTGGGAAATACTACAGGAATTAATTGTTTTTTGAACAGCAACATTTAGGCTCCACATGGGGAAAGTAGAGAATTTAGTAGCATAATTAGCTTCTGTGGAGAGGGGAGATGTGAATGCTCTTCAGAGCCATAATACCTGATCTTGTCTTAAGTTCATCTGGCCTACAGTATATGGCATGGTAAGCAAGGAGACATTGCCCAGAGTTTGTTAAGTGTGACAGCAACATTGCCATTTGATGCCCTCCATTGTATGGCTTTGTAGTACTCCAATATCTGGTGGGTAACAGAGAAATGTTAAGGGCCTGATTACTGCTGCTACTAAAATCACATGAACAAGAAGCAGCAGTAATAAACTGATGTGGAAGACTATTATTTAAGCACACAGTCCCTGCATCTCCCTTCCCCCCAAATTGCAGTTTTAAGAACTTTCATGCCCAGCACTAGTTTGCACCCACTTAACATTTTGAAATTGCTTTGCAGCGGAAAGCAGAAGGGGGCCCTTGAGAAAAATCAAAACATGTCTTAATTAAAATTAAGATCACTGTGTTTTATGCTGTCTTCTGAAGCTGCCTTTGGAAATTTTAGCTGACATAGAATGTCTGTATAGCCAGAGTGATGTTGGGAGTTCACAGTGATGGCCAAGATATTTTGCTGCCAAAGGCAAAAAGACATCGTACCCTCCTTTACTGCATAGACTGATAGCTGATATTTCTTCTACAAGAACAACGCCCGCCACAGAATCTGAGGACAGCAAGGTGGCTTCAGATTAAAGAGACATATAGCCGTGCACTTAAATGTCTTGCCACCACTCTGTCGCTTGAGATTTAAAATGAAATAGCTGTTTCACTTTGTTTAAAAATATGGAGAGTCCTTGGGAAGCATTTCCTTCTGACATAACTGGATCTTTGTTGGCTCTTGTTCTATTTCTCTGCCCAATTCAAATAACTAATTAATGGCTAACAGTTTTGATTCTGTTTTGATCCAGATTATTTAAAGGACATTCTTTTTACCATGGCCCTCTATGTTCTCTGAAGATTCAGGAAGCCTTAATAAGAAGACTGCAGACTTCCCCACTTAGCTGTAAGATAACACATGGGCCCCTTTTGAATGAAAATGAAGCAAATAAATCTCTCAGTAGAAATGAACAAATAAATATATTTTGAGCTGGAAGCCACTCTGGAAACCTTTCCAGTTGAAGAGTGGGGTGTAAATATGTTCAATAAATATTTTATTTGGCTGAAATACATTTTCTCTTAAACTTTGTGATTGAGGAAGGCAGCCTTTACTACATGGTTCAGTGGAGTAGCCAAACACTGCCAAATTCATTCTCAAGTCAAAACCATATGTATTGCTCTTGGAAATCTGTTTAAAATGCTTTAAAACGTACAATAAGACTAAGCAGTTA